AAACAAATAGGAGATAAAAATGCTGAAGAGGAATTAATAAAATGTGCCGATGATTACGTAGTTGAAAATTGCACAAATAAAGTGATTAAAGATAAAAAGAGAAATGCAGTAGTTACTGTGCAAAATTCAACTACACCAGAAAAATGTAACGATGCAGTTTCTAAACAAAATGATGATGGATCTTTTGAAATTAGTGAGACGATTTGTGAAGAGATAGACGTTCCCATTACAGAAGTCGTAACTACAATAAAGAAAGATACACAAAACGAGAAACTTAAATCACCCGAATCCGAGCCGTGGTGGAAAACAGCACTTGCTCTCAGTTACCTTAAAGTCGCTGCACCACATCACGAAAATCTATGGAAAGATAAATACAATAAAGCTCGTGAATATCTTTCTAAACAAATTGGAAATAAAGATGCTGAAGAGGAATTAATAAAATGTGCCGATGTGTACGTAGTTGATAATGTCACTAAGAAGGTTGAGAAAGATCATAAGAAAGCCGCTGCACTTCCTCTTGTTCAAGATGCAGCTTCTCCCGAGAAATGTAAAGAAATTGTATCTAAACAAAAAGATGATGGCTGCATTGAATTGGACGATTCAGTGTGTAAAGAATTAGATACTCCTAAGGAAGATATTATTACCACAATTCAAAAGAACATTACTAACAATAAACTTAAAGTACCTGACCTTTCAACAAGTCTTTCAACCGCTGTTAATCTCTCATATCTTAAAAATCTTGCACCTCACCATGAAGGTGTATGGAAAGACAAATATGATAAAGCCCGTGAATATCTTTCTAAACAAATTGGTGATAAAGATGCTGAGAATGAATTATTAGATTGCACCGATGAATATGTTGTTGATAAAGCAACGAACAAAGTAATTGAGGAAAAGAAACGTGATGTAATTGAACTTAAGAAAGATGAAATACCTAAAACTGAAAAACCTATTAAAAACTTTTTCGGTGGTCTTTATGAGAAGGCTGCCAAACTTGGTGATCAACTTGAAAATGCCCTTACATTTGATAAGGACA